CGAAGCATTGAGCCTATTCAGAGAGAGAGTATCATTAAAGCTCTAAATGAAGATACTCAGAAACTTTTAAATGAAGGTTCCAGTGATGATCCTGCTTTGAAAAGATTACAAGAGGAAATTGCTTATTGCAATAAATTGTTTGCTGATTTACAGCGAATGCTTGATCAGGATGAAGGTGAGAACATTAGAATAAATCTCGCTAATATTTGCTCTGATTTTTCACTCTCTATATATTTGTTTATTTATCTTGGTAGAATTTTCAATTGTTAATAAAATACATTTTAAAGCACTCCATTGAGCTGAAATTTTATACACATGATTATTTTGGATGACAATACAATAATTTAATTATAATTAATAAAAATTAATTGATTAAAGCTAATTACTTAAAGAATTACAAATACAGCCACATTGATGACTTAGCGACCCTTTTGGCGACTTGTGTCAAAACTTGAAAAGATTTTTTTTTCTCACGTTTTAAAGCATTCAGTTGAAATGAAATTTTATATACATGATTGTTTTGGATGACAATATGATACTTTAATGATAATTAATAAAAATTAATTACCACTTAATGTTGTGATTCCGTCCTATGTGTATATACATATTTATGTTAATTGTAACTATTTAAAAAAAAGTAGCTAAAATAAAAAAAAATTTTGTTGATCTAAGTAGGAATTGACTTAAAATTTTTTTTTATATTACTTGTTTAGTCAAGGATTCTTTATTTCAAAAAATTTTACTAAATTTTCCTTATGGATCGTGTTTTGTTATTTAATTTTTATAAAACCTGATTATTTGTGACTTTATTTATTAAAATAACAAATTATTGATTTTTGTAATTATATATCTTTTAAATCTCTGAATATATTTATTTACACTATTATTTGTTCTAATTATAAAAGAATAAATTTTCATTGAATGTGTATTTTGTGAGGATGGAAAATGGGCTCAGGTAATGGGAAGCAATGCAACTTAATTTTTTAAAAAGTGTTTTATATAATTAGCACTATTTTCTTTGATATTACTATTCTTTTTCTTTTACGCAGTTGATAAAGTGAACAAAAGTCAAGCACGTAAATTCAATGATTTGGTGGCATCTGTACAAAGCACATTGACAGAAAAGGAAAGAACACTGAAGCAAAGAACCCAGGCTCCTATTCCTCGAAGTAAAGAAATAGTGGATAGACTCATGCAGGAGCAATCAGTTAGTTAATATAGTTACTTTTTTAGTAAACTTGTAGCTTTTTTATCATATCTTTGAACTGTAGGCTTTTATACAATTTATAAGACTATTTCAATACATTTCTTATGTTCTCCCCTCCTACAATATAATTACATGGGAATATTTGTAATTAAGAATAAAATTATGTTACAAAGAAATTCAAAAGCTATGCAATAATAAATTCTTCTAGCTATGAATATATTTACTGGCAATTTGCACTCGTATTCATATAATTTATCAAGTTGTAAATAAAGTATTCATATATAATATTTATAATGAAATGTGCTACTAAATCTGATTCATGTACATCTGCTCCGAGTTTTTAATGATGTCAAATTTCACTTCAGGAGTTCGAATCTGAACTGCGTTCCTTTGAACCCAGAGTGAATGAAGTTCAAGATGCTTTCAGAGAATTGGTCTCTAAAACACCTGCCCTGCAGTCACGCCATGACACCTTAATGGAATCTTGGAACAACTTATGGTCAACATCCAGTTTATATGTTGAAAGGTAAGATAAAAGATTTCATATCTATGCAAATTTTGAATTGCCAGGAATTTGCATTGAAATTAGAGTAAATAATTCCATTTTTTGAATGTTTAGTTATATTTTTGTAATTTTTAAATATTTCTTTTTCTTTCATTAACATTTAAAATTATTAAAAGAAATATTTCTTTTTATTTAAAATCTTTTTATGAATTTCGGTTAGTTGAAAATGAGCCTGAATTAAATTTAAAACATATTTTCAGAACCCCCCCAATTTTTCTGTTAATTCATGATTTAATACCCTGTATGTTTGTTATGGCTTAAATGTTATTCACTTTAGTTTGTGAGGTTAAATAATAATTCATCCTTACAGTATAGGAGAAATAAAGAACACATATTTTATAGCAGGAAAAATAATTAACTCACATAAATGTGTGTAGTTTATAAAATTTTGGTTTTCTTTAAAGAATAGGAAAGTCTGAGTCTCTCTCTAATTATAATATGTATAATGTGTGTAACCTTTTTTTTTAATCTAAAAAAACATTTAGAATTTGGGCATATATTTTTTTTTAATGTATGTAAGGATTGCCTTTAATATTTGAATTTTGACTAAATAAGAAAATATAACTGTTAGAAAAAAAAATATGAATTTGTATAAAACTTGCCAATATGCATTTTTTACCTTTTTGGAAATAGTAGAATGCATTTGGTTAAATTAATCCATAAAACTAAAGTAAACTCTCGCATAATTGCTGATATGATTATAGAGTCCTATAGTAGTTTTTATATATTTGTTCCCTTGGTAGGTTAAAAGCAGTTGAAGTATCTTTGGAACATTATGAAGAAGCATCTCAAGTTGTCTCAAATGTTGAATTGCAATTAGTTTCCTACAATGACATGCCCTCCGATGTAGAAAGTAGTGCAAGGATAGAAGAAAACTTAAGGGTAAGTATTTAGGCTCTAGAATGATAAAATTTTGAAAAATAAAAAAAATTAATCATTTGTTTAAAGCAATGCATAGTTCCCATACATGATTTTTTAAAATTTTATTTTATGCATTTTTCAAAACTTATGTTAACTTTGTAAGCAAACAACTGAGTCAGCCTTTCTAATCTGTTTTGTTTTAATATTCTAAGCTTCAATATTTTTTATGTGTCTTATGTGTCTTTTTTTGTGTTTTATGTTTATTATGTCATTATTTTTAGTGTAAATATTTTTATATCAATAATATATTGTACCTGTCATCAAATAAGAGTTGTTACATATTAGAACATTTGAGGTACATTTCTCAGAAATGAGAATCATGTTGTGTTATTTATAAAAATTAAATTTATTTAAAACAAATTAACAATTTTTAAAAATGCATGCTTATTATTCTTACTCTCTTATTTTTTATTCTCCCTCTAATAACCCTCCCTCTTCTGAAACTGCTAATTAATCTTCACACTGAAGTAATTACTATATTAAACATCATGATATAAAACATCAAAACTAATTAAAAAAAGAGTTTTTGTGTGTGTTCTGCCTTTCTCTCTAAAAAATACTAATCTTATTATAAATGAGAAATAATTTTGAAGAGAATCCTTGAATTGTGTGTAGTACAAAACTTTTATAAGCCACGAAAAAATTGTCTCAATGTGAAACCTTGGAATAAATTTCTGATAATATCTCTTAACCCTCTGCGCATCCTGTGATTTTTACGAGCAATGTAGATGTAGCCAAATTTGTGCATCCTGCCAAAACCAGGATATGCATTTTTTCGACTTCAGCTGTGCAACCTGTTCTGTTTGTGTTTATGTTTTCATTTATGTTTTTCTGTTCATATTTTTAAGATCTTATTCTATATTTTAAAATAAAAACACTTTTACAAAATTTTCTTTTGTATATTTTAACTCTAAAAGGAAGTTTTAATTTGTAGATTTGAAATATGTAATAAAAAAGTACGCAATTTTTGAACCTACTTTTGATAAAATAACTATGCAGTGAGAGGGTTGAAGATAAAAACAAGTAATATATAAAAGAAAAAAAATTTAAGTCAATTCCTACTTGGGTCAACGAAGAAAAATTTTATTTTAGTTACCGTATTTTCCTGTATATAATCCGCAGCGGCATATTATCCGCAGAGCCATTTTTTTCGAGTAAAAAAAAACATCGTATAATCCGCGGCAGTTTTGGCGGTGATTAATCTTGCTCCTTGAACGTTGACGGTCCTGGTAGGTGGAATATCAAATGATAATGGGGAACTTCGTCCATATTAAAAATCAAATCCTCTGTAAAATTATTTTCAACAATAATTTGCTTGCAAAATGTCAAAAAGTTGTCAGATTGTTTTTCCCAGTCATCAGGTAATTTCTGTCCGACCATTGAACGACTAAATTGTTTCTCTTCATAAACCAGTAACACCACAGGGGCCCACCAGAGAAGTTAACAATATTCATTTCGCGTGCAATAACTCGGGCTTTCATTCTGATGCTAACTGTCGAGACAGCTTTCCCATCGTCCCTTTCTTTTAAAATCCATTTATTTATTTCTGCCTCTAATTCTGGCCAGAGAGGTTTTCCATGACGATCGGCCCTTTTACGTCTATCGCAATTTTCGAAGTTAGTCTTGTTCCTTCTCCACAAACGAATATTCGATTCGTCAACGTTGAAAAATCTTGCAGCTTCTCGATTTCCGACTTCGTTAGCCTTCTCTACAGCGTTTAATTTGAAGTCTGCAGTATAGCTAACACGCTTATGCTTCATCATGATAAAAACTTTCAAAGGATGCAACACCTCTAGTCAAGACAAAGTTGTAAATGACGCCAGCGACTTGTAACTGCTATTTCCTTCCGAGGAACCGAATTCGTTCTTGAAAGTAATTGGACAAACACTAATTATGGCCGTAATACGTCAGCCGAGTCGTGAAAGCGCCATCTATTATTTATTTTATAAAACATAAACAGCATTTCTTTCAAAACTTTGTTAATTTTTCTGATGGAGAATGTTTTTTCTCAGATAATCCGCGGCGGCGTATAATCCACACAACGAAATTTGAAACTTTTTTAACACATAATTCGCGGATTATATACAGGAAAATACGGTACTTTTTATTAAATAATTACAATTAATATAAATATATATATACGTTTGACAGAATCACTATATTAAGTGACAAAATACAAAGCAATTTTCCTTTCTATGTATGGTGTTTGACTTATTTTTTGTTTGTTACTATTTATTCATTAATTAAATTTAATTATTTTAATAAAATAGAATAGTAAAAAAGAAATCACATTGTCAGAAATTAGGCCATCCCAGGTGGAATTCGAATGCATGACCTTTGGATTAAAAGTCCAATGCGCTATCCATTATGCTACAGGGACACAATAAACAATTTTCATTTCTATATATGCTGTTTGACTATTATTTTTGTTTGTAATTATTTATTCATTTTTTAATTTAATTAATGAATTAATATTTTAAAAAAACTGTATTTACATCAAATGTCACCCACTACAAGTTTAAAAGAATGTATTTGAACTTAAATTGATGAATAGAAAGTATTTTATTAACAATTGAAAATTTGAACATGTATAAATAAATGAATATAGGGAGAGAGTGAACTAATAGTAGGAATTCAGTTATGATTTACATGTATTTCTGAAATGCTTTCATATTTAAAATCAATGGAAAATGATCATAAAAATGTATCTCAATTTTTACTTTGCAATTTTTTTAGTATCTTTGATTGTTATTTATCTCTTACAGTCTTTGAAGAGAGAAATGCACCACAAACAAATTGTCTTTGAGCAAGTCACTCAGAGTATTTCCACTGTCCGTCATTTTGTCGAATTGACCCGTCCTCATCAAAGTGTTCACACAGATGTAAGTAAATTGGAAGAAGATGTAAAGAAAGTGAGGAGGCGATGGGACCTTGCAGGAACCCAAGTAAATGATAGGTAATTGTTAGATATTTTTGAAAATATTTTATTTATTGTCATTACAGTGTTTATTTTAAGTGGCAATGTGCATCTTTAATATCATGCATTTTTATTGTTTTTTATTTTTGTGTTGCAAAATCATTTATTTTGTTCTTTTAAAAAAATGCAGTAAGGCTTTTCAATTTTGTTATGAAGTAACTTTTTCAAAGTATAGATTAAGTCAAGTTCAATATTAAGAAAAGGTTTTAAGAATATACTCAATTTTAAAAATAATGAAATATCTCAGAATTAACTCTGCCAATAGCACAATGGGGTTATTGATGTTCTCTTTAATTTTCATATAGGCTGAAAGCACTTGAAAATTCTCTGGAATTACTTCAAAATTATCAAGGAAAATACAATGAGCAAAAAGTATTTGTCAGTCAAATGAGTGCCAAAGTAGAATCTATGAAATCTGTCAGCAGATTGGATTCCCATGAGCTGCATCATGAAATTGAGTCCTCCATGGTACGAAAATTGTTTTTATTTTGCATTTTGTACTCAAAAGGTAATACATTAACTATACATCTGCATTGTCTGCATTTTTCTTTCAAAATATAAGCACAATAGTATTTGTCAATATTTCTTTTATTCCATTTTCTTTACTATTTTGCAGAGTACTTATCACACTTTAAGTCAGAGGAAGGCTGCAATAGAAGATGTCAATGTAGATGGTGGACGTTACATACGTGAAGCAAAGGTAAGATTTCTAACAGCATAACAATCCTTAGCAATAAAATTAATTATTGCACTTAACTATGATAATCTTGGGATTAACTGAGTTTAAACTCGCTTGTAACTGAAGTTAATATTTTGAGTAATTATGTAATGCTAAGCATTTTAATGCCATGTACAGCAGTGATAATCAAAGCCTTAATTTTTAACTACTAAATGTAACCACTAAAGTTAATTAACTGTGTTTCACAGTGAAAACATTTATTTCAGGAATATGGGATGGGATGTCAAACATGAGAAATGGTTTTTAAATAAATTGTTGAATTTAAATATCAAATGAATCTGCAGACTTCAATTTTATGTAGAGAGATGGTGCATGTTTGAGAAATTTTCATTTATTTGAAATCAAAGTTTATATCAAATCATGTGTCATTGAATGCCCATAGTATTTAATACTTTCTCATAATAGATTGTTTTCTAAATTGTTAGGCCCATCTTTCTTTTGAATAGAATTTTAATTCATGCAGCAGTTTTATTATTCACTGGAATATCATAAAAAGATATGTTGTGAAAATTATGAATTACTGTCAAAATCATTAAATTTTTTTTAAATATAATTTTCATAACATTTTTTACAGATTTTCAATGACATTTTTTAAACATTTTGTTGAAAAATCATTTTTAGAACTATAATTAAACTATGAATACTTTTATAAAACCTTGAAAGCTTAAGATAAAAAGTTCAATAAAATGAAAATAATGTAATGAAATTTGTAGCAACATGAGATAACTTTCTACTTTCATGGTGAACTTACATATCTCATTCCCCTCCTCACTCCCCATTTCATAACCCTTTGTCTAATATCTATATTTAGAATATCTTCAAAATTGTTATCGAATGTATTGATTCAGATGTTTTTGAGTAGATCAAACCATGAAACATATTAAAGTTAATTATTTTTCTTTTGAAATTTTTTTCTGTAAAAAGCATTACACTTTTCTTTCTATAAGTTTTAATGTTGAGATTTGTAGTTTGTCTCTATATTTACAACAAAAAATTATCACTGTTTCCATCTTCCATAACTTTATTTCCCCCTATTGCACCTGAACTATAAGTTCTCCCTTTCGTGTGTATGGGTCTGGGTGCGTGTGTATGATATCTGTCCTCTACGTAGATGTATGACCTGCAGCTGAAGCAGTATCAAGAAGGACTTGATGATAATCCTGCTGCATCTGAGGCCAAGAAGGCTAAAATAGTGTCAGGGGCTGAAATTGTCAGTCAAGAGCTTGACCAATTAAATCAACAGTATACAGATTTGGTGAATGTGGTGTTACAAAGGGTGAATGAATTGAAAGGTTTAGTTTCTAGTCAAGAGGGCCAAAAGGTAAAATTTTTTCCCTTCATTCACTGCTCTTTTTCTTTATAAAATATTGTTTTTAATAGTTAAAAAGTTGCTTTTAAATGGCAATACATATATATGTGTGTGTGTGCACATATACAGGATGTCCCAAAACCTGATCATAAGCGGGCTGGAGGTGAAAGGTGGAGTCATATCTGTTCTGGAAAATTTTTTTAAAAATTCTCCAGAACTTGGTTAAGTGAGGATGAGTATATTTTTGAAAATGTGGAAAATTGACACCCTCTATCACTCATTAGCTACTGTGATCACAAATTTCCCAATTTTATGATGATATTTTCTCACTAACATTATCTTACATAATCTTTCTATTAGTCACAGTCAAGGGTTGAAATTAAGGTAGGCTGATTTAGTTAAAATTAAGGTAGTTTGTGTGGGAGTTGGGGTTTGAAAAAAATATGTCCCTTAGTTTTGATACTTCATAAAAAGTAAACTATTATACTGCAATTAATAGTACTGCTACGCAAAATAGCGTTAGTGAGAAAATCATAAAATTGTGAAATTTGTGATCACAGTAGTTAATGATATGAATAATGGAGAGTGTCAATTTTCCTCATTTTCATTTTCGTCCTCACTTAACCAAGTTCTTGGGAATTTTTAAAATTTTTCCCAGAATAGGTATGACTCCACCTTTCACCTCGTGCCCACTTATTAAGTTTGGGGGACACCCTGTATATGTATACATAAAATGTATATCATGTTAGTTACTATGAATATAAAATTTCAATTATTGAAAGTTAAGTGTTTAAAAATAAAAATCATGGGATTGCTATTTTATTATATTTTTCTCTAGTGAGCATTTTCATTTTTTAGGTATAATATATGAGTGAATTTTTTAAAAAAAAATCAGGCTGATTGCATTATATTATTATTTATTCATAGGTTTTATGGTTGTGTTTAATTGGTTGAACGCCACTTCATTAAAATGCAAAGTTATGCATTGTTGGTTCTTAATGATAAATTTGATTTTGAATATCTAGCCCAAGAATCTAGCTACACATCTTTTAATTCAATATGAATATATTACACAAAAGATTGTCAATAATTACCATTATCAGCAGTAATTATTTTAAAGTTGATGATGGTGCTTTTTATTGAAATAGCCTACTTCTGATTTCAATATGACATAATTTGAAGACAAATATCATCAGCTCTGTCCTATATTTTTACTTACTGTAGAACTTAAATATGCATGCTATTTTACGAAATACACATGCTTTCTCCTCTTTACCTGTTTCTTTCCTTTTGTGAGTTTTTAAAAATAGTTTTTATAAATGTCTCTGATTATTTTTCTCTTTTATTTTTCTTTCTTGTTGAAATTGTCCTTTATTATTTTAGCATGTACTTTATTCTTATGGGTTTTTGATTTGTTTCTCTTTTCCCCAATTTTCCTCTCACAGTTTTCTGTTACCATCATTCAAGCTGCACCAATCATTCTGAAGACATATCGCACCGAACTCATCTGGGAACAAGCTCCTTTTTTCTTTTTGAATCATACATCAAACTCTTCTGATCACCATCTCCTCACTAATAATGTATCATTGCCCAAACTTAACAGTCCTGATGATAAAACATTCCAAACAACATTTTCTTCTAAACCTTCCTCCCAAAGTATTTCCACTGTAGAATTTTCTAAGACCTCTTCTAAAGATTCAAATTTTTTGACTAGCATAGATGTAAATGTAGATGGTGAAAACTCTTATTCTAATAAAGGTCCATTTACTGAACTGTCAGGGACTACATTATCCTTTACAGAAGTAAAGAGTAGCCGCAGATCCAGCTTTGCAAATCCTTCTGCTATCACAGTATTTGAAATGCCAACAGTTTTAGAACCTTTCAGTCAAAAACATATCACTTTCATTGAAGCTGTTCATCTAAATATTATAAATATTAAGGTTTTAAAATATTTTCACTTGTCTACCAAAAAAGAATATTCTTTAGAAGAAGCTGCTTCTAATTATTTCATTGAAAAATTTTTTTATAACAGTATTATTGAGTATTATGATATTTGTGATCCAAAGAACAAACAAGAGATAACTCTGTTAGAAGCTATCCAAAGAAAATTATTTAACATTAAAAGTGGAAGCTTCTGTAATCCAGAAAGTGGTTTAGACATATCTACTGAACAGGCTGTTGAATTGGGCATTGTTAAAAAAGATAGTATTATTTATTTAATCCAAAAGAATATTTTAAATTGTGTCCAGTACACAATACCTGAAGCAGTTATCAAAGGTTATTTAGACCCTGATTCAGGTGTTTTTACTAGTCCACAGTCCAAGACAATTCTTTCAATTCCAGATTCTTATCAAC